TTGCCTAAGAAGATACTGCCATATTTGCTCAAATTAGGACATTCTAACGCCAAGTGTGGTAGATACAGTTCTTTGCAAGCTGTGGTGTTTCTGGAGGTGTGGCATGTTGCTCCGTCTGCTTTCGGAATATCACATGTACAGTCTAGTATTCAAATAAATTGTTTATTTCAGAGCGAATCCACATCTGCTGTGTCCATCGCGGGGAACCGAACCCCGGCAATTGCGTTGCAAGTCCGTAGACTTATCGCTGCTCCATCAGGGGACATTCAAATAAAGGCAAGAGGTTGTCTTAAAGAATAGGTATGTACTCTGAGGAACTGAGACAATGTGGAATGAAAGTGAAACTCATTTTACCACAGTACCAAATATTCGCCCAAGCTTTAAAATCTTGCTCGACATTTGGTTGTAAGCAGTGGGTCAAATGCTCCACAGTTTTCTCTCAACCCATGTACGTCCAAATGTGGCTTGGTGGAAATTCGATTCATCTGAGTAGACTATCTATGAACGCAAAGATACAAGAGGTTTGCGAGTCAGTATATTGCACAAGTCAAAACGATACTCGTTGTTTACTACTATCACCAGTGGCTTCCTTCTAGCAACCAGTCCAATGCAGATCTTTACACAGAGCATTGACTTAAGAGTGTCAACTTAAGGTTTGTTGCCAGCTTCTCCAAAGCTGACGAATTACAGCTCGTTAGGTGAGAAATAGTAGATTTACAATAAAATATCTTCCATTAACCTATTGAATTGAAGCACAACTCCATACGCCCCGATTTTCTCCGTGTCATTTATTAAACTGGAAGCGACAGATTCTATCAGTACAGAGACATCTCAAAAGTAAATAGACACCATGATGTTTATTCAATAGTCATTTAATTAAGAAATTCATCCAACGGCTCCCATGGTCAAGTCGGTCACCTGATATGAATCCCATCGTGCAGTGAGAAGAAGTTCCAGAAAACCAGCGTCCAGTGGAGAGCTACTTGATGTTTTGGGTGCAGCCTGGGTCAAGATCCTACAGGAGAAAATTACAGAACTCGTCCATTCCATGCCAGAACGAGTCAAAGCACTGAAATATGCTAGTGTCAAATCGACTAAGTACTGATGCATATTTGTAAACATTTTTGTCAAGTTGATAATGTGAGATAAATGAGTCTTGGAAAAAATCATGGTGTTTATTTACTTTTGAGATGTCTCTGTACAGACATGAAGTGACCTCTTAGGATTCTAATATTCTGTGAGGAGGGGAGATTTTTATTCTCACGGGCGGGGCTCAAAGCCCAGACCTTCTGTCGTTAAGGACTGCAGCTTACAGACTGACCTGCCTATTGCTATATTGTGGGTCGATTGTCTGATTCTTGTAACGTGAAAGTTTTACTACTATAGCATTCAGAAATGTTTCCATCCTCAGGATTAGCACAGTGTGTAGGTGTGTTGTTTGGAATTAAGTACAAAGCTACACAATGGACTATCTGTGCACTGCCCACCACGAGTAGCGAAACCAGGTTTCTAGTTTTGTAAGTCCGCAGACATGCCGCTGTGCCACTGGGGGGCGTGTGGATGGAGAAATTCTGAGTTTCCACATGTTTTCGCCATAACCCTGATTAGTATTTTGATAAAGCTTACCCATCCAGGCTTTTCATTTCAGTTCCCCGTCAAAAGTATGAAAATATACGAACAAATATGTTTTTTATTTCATAGAGTGTTCAATTATGACCGTAAATCAACAAGATAGAACAAAGATAAAATGGTAGGTGGTTAGTTTTAGTTTGAAGAACAAAAAACTTCAACTCTCTAAAAAATTGTATATGTGGATATCAGTTGTAATACGTCATAATCGAGTCAGTTTCTAAAACCTGAAGAAAGGCAAAAATGAAAGTCGGTGAATACTTTTGCTATAAAAATCTAACAAATTTTACGTGATAATTTTTTGATACTATGTGAAATTCAGACAAATTTATGGTAAAACAAATATTAAAAATGATAATTTTTGAATTAGTTTGTTCGTTGAATTTCGTCCAAAACTACTTGAGGGCTACCTGCGCTAGCCATCCCCATTTTCGAAGTGATACACTAGAGGGAAGGCAGCTAGTCAACACTACCAACCGCCAACTAATGGACTATTCTTTACTAATGAAAAGTGGGATTGACCGTAACATTATAATGTCCCACGAGTATATTTGGTGACAGGGATCGAACCCCCGATCCACATTTTGACAAGGTAATGACGAGTTAATATTTTAAAAATTCGACGAGAATGGATTTTTTGGTATAACATGATCATATCAATATTTGTTTTATGAAAGAGAAAATTTAAGATTATGAACATTTCGCTAAAAACACCAAACCCAAGACTCTCTAAACTTCAAGAGCTAAAACGATTTTTTAATACGAAATAAAATATATTTTGAAAATAAAATAAATGCAAAAACTGAGGATGACCAATATTCCCGCTATAAAATATTTCAGGAGATTAACATTTTTATACATTCTGTATTTCAGTCAAAATTCCGAGATGTAGTAATTTTAAAGAAAACAAAAACAGAAGCTATATTTTTTACAGAAAATAATAGTTATTTAAAGTAAAATCAAAATATGTAAACTAATCTCATCAAAATATTTCACTAAAAACGTAAGTCATAAGCATTGTGCTATTTGAAGAAATAATTGGCTTTCAGATAATCTATGACCCAGACAAACTTTCTGGAATATGAAAAGCAAAGTAATTATCACTCTGTTTAACAACACAGTTTTGGTTAATCAAAGAAATAAGATTTTATCTCAAAGGGTGAATATCTTTTTTATACGGAAATGTGGAAGTCTATCTGTATCTTGAACAAAAACAATAATACCTTTGATTTGTTTTTTAATTGCATTAACTTTAATTCATAATTCGATTTTAAATTATCAATAAGCATTGATGAAAGAGAGTGAAAAAGTCCTATAGTTTGCATTTTCAAGTTTGACTTATGGCAAATTTTACATGTGCAGATAACATTATGGGTATCTTTGTTCCATGACTAAGAAATACAGCAACTAATAATTGCATTGACTTTATGCAAATACTTTAATTTCTAAGTAAACGTGATTCAGGATAGAATGTGCTAATTTCGTTATATCTTATTGGAAGTTATAAGGGGTAGATACACTTTCACCTGTGATTCTTCTTCTTCAGCATTGTTCTCATTCGATGTTTTATAATAATTGTTAATAGAATATAAAGTACTTTCAAATGTTCGATTCCATTAATTTGGTTAAAAAGTAGAAAAGTCTGATGTGAAACCATTGAAGAATATTCTACAGTTTGGATCAACAGAAAAATAAAAATTTACATAATCCCAGGTAACATTCAAGTCCAAGCATGAGAGAGGTAAATGACAATAAAAAAGTAAACCATCTGGTAATATCTGAATAATACTTATGCAATTGTACTAATTTCTTTAGCACATATAATTTTTATATGACTTGTTAAAAACTCTTAATATCCAATGTCTCCCTCCCCGTTTCCATAATATACTTAACTAGAATTGTTTTATGATAACAGCCTGGATACTCTCTTACCTATAAGAAAGTAAATTAATTTCAAAGAACTTATAATTACTTTTACTATTGATAAAATAAAATGCTTATTAGAATAACTTAAATTATCATATACCTATAATCAATAAGGTAGAAATTTCTACCAAATTTCATTTGCTTGAGAAGTACTATTTTTATTATGTATTTATGGTAAAGCTACTGGGAAATATTAATTTCATCAACTTAAAAAAAACATTTACCTATCTCGTCAGTTTTCTTGTGGTACTCAGAATAACTTTGGAGTTTAAAAACTTAGTTTAAAATCTTTAGGCTTTTTTAGTTTAGATTTTCTTTTCCTGTAAGGTAGTTAAAATAGTAAAATGAAATAATATCAATCTCCTTGGTAAACTCAGAACAGGCATATAAAAAACATTTAACAATAAAATTTGTACTTTGTAAATCTTTATTCAATTTTCTATTAACTTGCAACATTAGTAGGTCACAATGATAGCAAGTTGTTCATGCCAGGGTTCCCACTAAAAATTTCAAACTTTTTAAGGACTCAAAAAATTGTCCATGTTAACACACATGACAAAGAATCTGTTCAATTAGTAATTGTAAATAATGCAAATCAATTATTTACTGATGATGCCGTGAAATGGTTACAAGCATCACAGTTACTGTATAAACCAATTAGACAGTTGTACCTAACACTTCACTTCATAGATCAGAATGTGGCCCCATTCATAACCATAAGAAAAAAATCGGCCATTGTATTCCCTCAACAACTAAGGGCTTTTTAAGGACTAAAAAGAAATTCAGCCAAAATTAAGTACAGTAAGGAATTTTCACGGATTTGGGAACCCTCCAACTACTTTTCAATGAGCATTTATATAACTAACTTACAAGAATGATAGATTTTGAAGATAAAATGATTGCTACCTTAATAATAGCTCTTTATGTAATCTAATAAAGTGCATACTGTCCATGAAATTTACCTCAAATTATAAAATGAAAAATAAAACCTATATAAATCTCGATGAGAATATTAAATTTTATAATATATGTTTTACACAGCTTTATTGTTAAGCAGTTGCTTCTATTACTGGGGGCTAAAGACAGGTAGCTTTGCCTAAGATTAACTGAAAATATCTTGTAAACATGTCATGAGTTACTATCAAATAGCTAATGAACATATATACTTCCCTAAACATATAGGATCATTCCCAACCTATTCCAAATAATACTCGAGAATAGAAGATCAAAGTTTTGTAAAAAATAAATTACTGTCTTGAATTAGCTTGTATTTATTTAGGTAAATAAGTAAATTGGGATATGTTTTCTCCAGAAAACAAGGATTTATAAAAGATTTTCTGGGTTACAACTGAAGTTATACAAAAAACATCAAGAATTATTTAAAAACAAATGAATCAATGGAAAGTTGTGTGTACATTAAATAAATTGCAAATATTATAACTGTATATTTTGTCAGAGAACTTTATTACACCAATAATGCCATGGTTGTTGTTTACATGCTACGATAACTTGAAAAATCCAATAACAGTTAACTTCGTTGTATACTAACAAGATGTCAAAGTTTTAAAGTACCTGTATTAGTGGCTGTTAGTAGTAGAGTTCATACATAATGGATAAATGTGGATTAAAACTTGTACCAGTGACATAAAAAAATTTGTGTGTGTGTGTGTATACTAAAATCAAAGTATTTTGTAAAACTTGTTTACTTATACTAACAAGATGTCAAAGTTTTAAAGTACCTGTATTAGTGGCTGTTAGTAGTAGAGTTCATACATAATGGATAAATGTGGATTAAAACTTGTACCAGTGACATAAAAAAATTTTTGTGTGTGTATACTAAAATCAAAGTATTTTGTAAAACTGGTAACTCATATCCTCAGTTTTATATGTATAAAAGGCATTTTTGATAATCCAAAATCAATCTATTTCATGTACAAAGAATTGCTTTTAACTTTCTTAGACCATTAAATTAACTGCATGTGCCACATGTTGGAAATGGAATGCCCTCTATATCTGAAGAAAACCTTTTTATTGAGAAACCTCCACTACAACTGCAGTGTTTTGGAGGTTTAAAAACTGGAGTGAATGATGACTTGCATATGGTTCATTGGAAGTTCATACAAAACAATTATAAAATTAACATCAAGTTTATTTTTCAGTCAACTGTACACCATTCACCGGGTTCTATGCAGGAAAATGTCTCCTCATGTGGGCTGCAACAAGGTAACAAAAATTTCAACTTGGCCTACATGACAAACAGACAACAATCTGCACACTATTGCAAAAAGAAAGACCAAACAGCCACTTTTCTGCACTGCAAAGGGAGCTGCCACACTGTAGTATTTTGATGATGTCAGCAGTTTCTTTGTAAAGAAACTACTGACACCAAGCCACTTTCATCTTCATTTCATTTGTAGGTAACAGAGAGTTCCACACTAAAAATTGCCAGTTTTTGAAGATAGTCAGAGCAACTGACCTAAGCACACACTCTACACGCTATAGACAGTCACTGTTCCATTAAAAATAAATTCCTATTTTCCACTTTCATTAGAAGGGTCTGCAGTATCTTTCATTTTGTCAACATATTCAGCAAATGTGTCTCGAAAGCGTGACCATGATTTTTCTGGGATGGTTATGGCAGTTCTGAAATTGTTTTTTACCTAATACATAAAAAAAAATGAAATTTCAGTTCATACATACCCAATACTTACTTTTCAATATTTAAGAAAGTTGTTAGGACTGATTAAAACATTTTTTAAAATTAAATTATGAATCAGGTAATCTTTTCAACCTTTGAATAATTTAAAAACAGTAACCTGACATTTTGGACAACTTTTTTGCAGTGTTATTTTTAAGAATAAGTTATTGTACACAAACATTTATAGATAAATGCCACCACACCCTCATGTATTTGTCAATTTTATTGAACTAAAAAAAAGGCAGTTATTTCTCTTCAAATTGCATGTACATTGTATACAGTGGTACACCACAGCTGTTTAAAACTTACATTAAAACACACTGGCAAAATGTAAATCTTTGGCTAACTTGCTGTTTTGATCTTTTTTTACTTGTGTATTTATTAAAATTCTTATTACATATACATCCACACCTCAGCATAAACTGTAATTTTACTTTCACATCCAAATAAATGAAGTGAAAACATTCATATGGAGAATCATAAAGATGCAAGTCTTCTTTTGTATAAAGTGTAAACTAAATCCTCTCCAAAGTATGGCCACAAAATAGTACACACGTCTTACCAAAATGCATTATCCCTACAATTACAGAATTAAAATTACATGGTGACTTTTTCCATGCATCATTTTTATATATCATTATATTTAAATAACAAATGTAAGACAGAGTTCTGTGAATTATTCATTAAGTTTCACATTTTAAATGACAATCAAATCAATATTTATTTGTGTACTGCACATATATTCATAGTTTGAATGTTAAATTAAAATGTAAACAGGCTGTTCTTATAATAGAATTACTTGTAATTAAATCCTTTTTTTTACACTTGCCATTAAATAGACCTGTAATGCATGTGCAAAGTCTGACAGTTAATGGAGAAATTTTCTTTAATATTTTAAACAAATTCTCAGTATTATTGTCTGATGGTTTAAACTATTTCTAGTTGAAATTCAATCTCAAATTTGTTTGTTTTTTGTTCATTAGGTACATAAGCAGAAATTTACAAAAGTGGGGTACTACTTTCAGAGGAATAAGGATATGAATGGCAAAGCCATGGTTGGATGAGTCCAGGGACCATATTCCCTTGGACAAGTTTGTAATTTTCACATTAAATAGTAGATGTTGATGATATACAAAGTTGTTTTACACCCTTTGAATATGTTTTATACAATATTGGTGCAATTTAGGGGTGTGTGTGTGCAAAAAACATGGTTAAGCACCGATTTGGCCTAAAAGAGTGACACCAAGTTCAAGATCAGGAGAAAGTTAAAAAAATATTAAGCATAATAATTTTCATGTTTTTTTCTCTAGCAAGCATCAAAAACTACAAAAGCACCATGCTTTTATTGATCATTAATTATTTATATTTATTTACAACTTGCAATGGATTGTTGAAAATTTTCGTATGTGCAATGTTTCGACCATTAGTGCACATTGCACGTATTCCAAAATCCAAAAATTTTCAACTATCTATTGCAAGTGGTAAATAAGTTTTACTATTACAGTAAAAAAAAACTTATCCTTGTTTAATACTATTATATGGTTTATAAGACTACTTCACTGGATACAGTACATGCCATAACAAACATATGCAGCTTCAAATATTTTAAAACTGTGTACACAAAATTAAGTTTCCTAAACAACAATTTAATGAAATTACAGGTTTTACTTCTTTGCTTAATCGTTTCTCAATATTATGTTTGTAGTTTTTATGGAAGTAAAAATGACATTTGCTACTAATCTACTTAGTGCAGAAAGAACAGTAAACAGTACTACGATAACATTATCTGTTATACATTCAGAAGGTATTAGAATATGCATGAAATACAAATACTTTTATTTCACAAAACATTGCAACTTTTCCATTTTGAGGCATACTAATGGTGCCACAAACCTGAGTTGTTAATCTCCATTACACCACAAACTGCACTATATCTAATCTAGTTATCATTCTTTTCAACTAATAAAATGGTTCATTCAATAATTTATGGATGACCTGTATAAATCTCAACATGAAACACTGAAAAACCATCTGAACAACATAAAAAAAAAGTACTTTGATACTATATGTTAAGCAAAACATAAACCAATTTCTTCAGCATTATATAAAGCAACATTTGATTATATTGCTTATAATAAACAGTTAATCTGATTAAACTTGATGTGGCTTTTAAGCACAAATCTCAGCTTGTCATGTTATGGGATTTCTTTATCTGAGCTAATATATTTTTTATTATGGATTGTTTTGATATCATCTCTGATTTCAAAGCAAATTTATTAATGAGGGTGTTGGTAATCTAAGAAAAAAGTTATGTAAAAGTCTTTCCAATTATTAAGAAAACATACAACATTTAGAAAAACAAAACGTTTTACAAATGTTATATTTTTCAAATCTTCAAGGAAAATATAATCTGAACCATACAACTTCTGAAAGTTTCTTATATAACAAAAATAAAGTTTTACCTCTGAAACACGCATGTAAACACCTCTGCTATTTTGGCCAATATCAAAATAGAAGTTTTTGTTCTCTACCCTCATATGATGAGCCTCTGGTAGGTTCCCTTTAAACCCTAAAAAGAGAGAGTAATTCTAATAAATGGCAAATGTTTTAAGAGATAAACATGCCTAGCTCCACGTGCAATTTTTAATATATCAATATAATTATGAAACTCTTGACATATTAGTAAATCACTGTCTGTGCAAGTTTGAAATTATAATTTTTCACGCTGTGGAATTATATACAACATGACTGAAAATCCACTAAACACATTCAAGTGTTTACAGAAGCATTTATTACAAATGAATTATTCTTCTAATGCCTTAAACACACATTAAATTACAGAGGAAAATCTAGGGTTAAATTTTTTTTGAATATACTTCGTCAACTATTTAAATTTACATTGGGACCGTGTGTTGAATAGTTCACATTCATTTTCAAAAAACAATAATCAATACTGGTCCCAAGAACTAAAAAGAAATCCATATCAAATATTTCTAATAAACTTTAACAAAATTTCCCTAAATTATTAAATAAACAATAGAAATTGTAAAGCTTAAACATCCTAAACAGTTGTATGTCACTTTGATTAACTAACACAAAACTGTATTAAACTGAATTATACCTATTTGTATATATTTAGAAGATACATAGGAAGTAATACATATCATTATCTTTATAAAGTTATGTGTTGCAAAGTTAATACCTACACAAATAGTTTAATACTTTTCCTATTTTAAAGATATAGCCAGGTGACCAATGGCCAGTTAACACCATAACTTTGACTATATTCACGTGGTACTGCTGTTTAAAGCCAATCACTACCTGTTTATTCTGACACTATAAATATTACGTGACATACATCTCTGATAAACTGTGAAAATATGAAGAAGATATAGATAGACTTATGGTTGGGCTAAATCTTTCTGCTATACATTCAGATTTTCTTAAATCTGGACTTTTGCAACTAGATACAATACAATCTTTTTTTTAATAATCTAAAAATTATTTTGATAGAAAAACCAAAATGATTTCTGTTTAATAAATTTAATTTTCTGAAGTAATAAGATATATAAACAACTGGGTAATGACTAGTTTCTGTGGTTTGAGAAGAAATCTGTGCTTTTTATAATCTATGGCTTATTCAAGAAAGGAATTAAATTCCACTTATACAGCTTATCAGGCTTTTCAATATTCAGTTTCTTTAGAACTTAATATTAACTATAATAAAATCAGCATTCCCTTAATGCATAAAATCAAAAGTTATGTGGAATCTTACACTGCAAAAAAAGTGTATGTATGATTAATTTCAGTATCATTTATTCTTAAATTATTTACATCAATATTAAATCACAACAAATGCCAGTTCTTCAAAGAGTGGTAAATAATCACATTTTTCTCAGTTCTAAGTATTGGTTAGATTGAGGAACTACTTATCTGTGTTGATATCCTAGAGAAACATCACAATGTTTCAAAAGTAAAGTAAAATTAAACTGTAGTGATAAAAAAAAAAGATTCACAAAATATTTATTTAGAAAATGTATATAGCTACTGAATAATGAATTATATACACATACATACATTTTAACTGTTCATACCTTTAGCAGCCACTTTGAAAATTAAATTAACAAACTGATGCATTGAAAAATTTTTTGATTGCAATAATCTGCTTCATATCCCAGCAAAATACATAATAGTAGAGAAGAATCGGATATAGCAAAATTTAATTTCAACTAAATATCATTCCTAAAGAAAGCAGAGATTCCAATACCCTTACACCTTTTGCTTCAATGTATATCAAATAATAACTTGCACTGAATCAACTACTTTGATTAGAACATTTTTTGGTTTTGTTAAGGAAACATATAACATGTTTCAATGAGCACTGTTCTATTATGTTGTTCTAATGTCATATCTTTTTTGGTTGCTGCAAGTTTAAACACAAGATTTGTAGCCTGTGCTGCACAAGTAGTTCATACTGAGAATATTATTAATACTTATTTTTATGTATATTTTCAAATGTATTTTTAATTTATTTCTTTATTAATATTAATTTATTTAGAATGTTCTAGATATGATGACAGTGAAAAGTAAATTGAATAAAAGTATCTTTTTCGCAGCTTGAAAATCATCTTTCAATTTTTTTTGGCATATGAAAAGTTTTTGAAGTTCACAATCAATGTTTTAGGCCAAATGTTTTAAACAGAACGATTTTTGTTCTAAAAACTTTCATTAGTATACTAAAAGCATGCAAAATTTCATGATAATATATTCAGAGTTTCAGTGTAGGGTTCTTTGGTTACCAGAAACTGGTTTTTGTGCACCTTGTCCCAACTGCCTTTCATTTCATACTCAAGTCATTTTGTACTAATGATTATGTAAAACCAAGAAAAGTTTCTCTTTTGGCAGCCCCCCACCAATCTTTTGAGTTGTGGCATGTTTAATATCAGTCACCAACAGAAAACACAATTTTATTTAAGATTTTATTAAAATTATACTAAGCACATGAACAATGAAAAACTCATACACTTAATCAGGCTTTAATTATTAACTTGCAATTACCAAATGTTATTCCATCATCTGTACCAAATTCTTCTAACAGGTCTGTGAGGGCATCACGAAATTCTATCATTCCTTGTGCAGGTATAGCAATCTGGGAACGTGGCCCTCCTTGTGTAATTGTCTGAGAAATCTATTATGATTAACAAAAACAGTTAAATTAAAAAAAAACATACACAAAAGTCATGATTTCAAATATTTCTGTTTTCACAAAGCATAATGTAGTGGTTAAAAAGGATGACTTTTACATTAGTGGTAATTAGTTTCTATTCATAAAGCTTTTCATGGAAGTGCTATTAGCTTTAAAAAAAAAGGACTTACAAACACTGAAAATGTTTTTCAATAATTTCCTCTCACAGTTAACAGTGCTTGAAGAAGCAAAAAAAAAGAGGTTGGTAATAAATTCATTGCTATTAAAAACACCACTTCTTTATTATGTAATCACTGTGCTTAATTTATGCATGTTCTAGTTAATATTTCTTGAAGAAATAAAATATATAAAAAAACATGTTGATAATACAATAATTTCTATTAAAAAAGAAATCACTTCTTTCACCCTATCGCCATGGGTATCCTTTACTGTGCATGATACAAAGTTTTAGTGTCTTACATTCAAAATTTCATTAAACTACTTTGTATTTACGTTATACCTATCAGTATAGCATAAAATCTTAGCTAATAATCCATATTCTATTGGTATATAAGTTCCAAGTTCTTAATTCTGTAAGGCAATATTTAAAAAAAAATCCTGAATTTCCCCTGGTGTGATATATTTTCTCTAGGTATCTTCTCCTCTCTCTTTTATCCATCACCCCTCCAAAATGTACAAAATTAAACACAAGTTATTCACTATAAAATCATCATTGTTCTGACATTTTGTTTGGTTACAGAGCTTTCAAATAGAAGATCAGACCACTCCTGACACACCAACCTGTCACATCCTCTCTTTCAAGATTTGTTAATAGTTCTCTGTTACGTTTAATTATATATTACCTATAACCAATAGAAACTCAAGGTTCATCTATCAAATGACATACTGTATAACATTGTGTTCTGAACAGATAAGTGTCAATTTCACTCAGAGTACAAGCTTCATTCCCATAAGAAATTTAATGACTAGATTGGATGAATTTGTAACGGCTCTTGTCGCATAGTTAAAACGCCAGAAAAATATTGAGAGTTAGGAGAAATTGTCTACTTTTTGCATGTTGTTGGTCTATGTTCTTTGGTGTATTATTTAATTAAACAAAAATTATTTAGTGCATTACAACCATTATTATAAAAAAATGTAGGGTTAACTTTTATTGACAATTGACAGCAAGAAAAAAAAAAAATTGGGATTATTTCTTGTTTTTCACATTTATACTTTATTTATTATTATAAAAGTAATTAAAATACAAAAATAGGGATCTTTTTAGGTTAGTTAAGATTAAATTAGGTAAAATAAATAATAATAATATAATAAAAATGTTTTATGAAGCACGCATGTGAGCAGCTCGTGGGTAAGGTGATTCAATATCATGACATGAACTTCATGTCCCCCCCCCCCCGAGTGATTTACAACTTATAATGGCACAAATATTAGTTAGACATGGTTCAAAGGGCAATAAAACCTAATTATAAATAGATGTATACTGTTACAAGCTTAAAACTACTTGGGATAAACGAATGTAGTTTCATGTTACAATTTGAAGTCATTCTAGAAAGAAAAAAATGGTAATTTAGATTTATTTTGTTGTTGTTGTGGTTACGAGGTCAGTCAAATTGACAGATCCCATATAGAGATAGGGTAGAGAAAATAACAGATAAAATATAAAGTTTTACTGAAAAAAAATGTTTGAAATGTATTTAGGAGGTTTAGGGATTACACAAAGGAAATTTGAGATTTTTGAGATGAATATTTTTAATCTTAAAATGAAAATTACTTTGCTCACGGATTATTCAAAACAAATACACAATATATTCATGGACAAATTTTTATTTTAGTCTATTAGAAATACTTCACAAAACAAATATGATTTTTTGTATATGAAAGACTTATAATGTTAACTGAAAGACTGACAAATTGAAGATATAAACACTATATTTGAAGTTAGGAGTATTAAATCTAAAAAGACTTTAAACAAGTACAAAGAGGTCACATGGTCAGTCAAATTGACCAAGCCAGTGTTGAGAGAGTTAATGTTAAGCACAAAGTTAAACAAGTGGCTATCTGTGCCCACTTTTTTAGCATTACAACACCTCAGACTTATCTTTGAGCCACCATTCAGTAGGTGTTGTTGACTAGTAGAAGCTGATAAATAACTGAATAATTATCTGTAAAGCAAAAATATTAGTAATAATGCTCTCCATGACAGCTTTTTTTTCTATGGTAATGATATGATTACACCTTTACTATTTTATATACATTTGTTATTCCTTATGACTTAAAAAAACGTACTTAACTGTCAGAAATAAAATAATAGAACTGACAGATAATCTGAGTGACAATATAGCTAATGAAAATAACTTTTAAATCAACAAGATATACTGAAGCCTAACTATTTGATTTAATAAGTTTTTGTAAAGTGGACAAAAATGCAGGTTAATAATTTTTCTGAGAAGAAAGGTTTACTTTCTCAGTCAGATTGTTAAAATAAATTTTATACTCACTCGTAAAAACCTCCCTCGAGAGTTCTCTTTTAGGTCAAGATAATATCGCCTATTTTCTTTAACCATTAATTCACTTTTTAATTTCCCATCTTCTGGTAAGTTGTCAGGATTAGGAGGACCTGTAATGTTAATAAATAAGCTTCCTAAGAGAGTTAATCATTGCCAAGAGGTTGAATATTCAGTTGCTGCTACAACAGAAATAAAAGATATTTGAATTCATTAATCATAAAAGCATATTCAAATTTAACATTTTTGGAATTTAAATGAATTTCAATCAGATAATTACCCCTGAAATACTAAAATCCTTTCCCTGTTGAGTTTAACCTAATGTTGTCAAACTATGTAACTTTAGATTCTGAATATCTTTGACACAATACAGAGCATCTGTCAACTTACTCAGAGTTCTTCAATCTTTCATGTAAGTTATTGTGCAAGTGTCTGAATAGCATACATAAGACTTAATCTATTTGTTTGCTTCACTCTCCAAGACAGTACTGATATGCTGTAAATTCAGCAAACTAAGCTACTGCAGAAGGAGAAGCAAATAGATTAGGCCTCTATATGCCACTCACAAGTTTTCTTTATTAAAATTACACATTTTGGTGAAGAAAAGAAAAATTCACAGATAAATGAAAGATGTTATTAAGCAGTGTGAATAAAATCCAGTCATTGGAATGGATTCATGGGGGAATCAAGTGAAGTAAACCAGTCTTATAAAAGACTGGACCAAAGTGTTTGTTTGTTTGTTTATAGTTAAGCACAAAGCTACACAAAGCGCTAACTATGCTCTGCTCACCACGGGTATCGAAACCCAGTTTCTAGCGGTATAAGTCCACAGACATATTGCTGTGCCACTGGGAGACAGACCAAAGTGATGACATTAAAAAAGAAAGACAATCTTTTCAGCAGAGTATTTCAATGTCCTAGACACCCCTAAAATAAGATATAAAAGAGGGGTCAGGAAGTATATATGTGTATGTACTTGTGGAATAGAGCCATGCACATTCTTAGGTGATGGCATAACAGGAATGCAGGATCCGAACACAATGCTTTGTCCTGTACCTGTTGTGCTAAGTTCTCAGAGAAGGAGACCAGTAATAACTAATGATTAAACATACTTCTTTGGCTATGGCTCACTTCATCCTTATCTAAAAAGGCTGGCTAAGTCATGAAGACAGATAGCCAAGAAGTGAACGTTGGCCCCAACTGGGTCCTGACTTCTATGGAAATGTTTAATAGAGAGTGACATTTTCTAACTCTCACAAGTGTTTCAGAGGATATTCTACATTATATTAGTGGCTGATGGCACTTCTGTAATGTGTGAAAAGATATTTCAACTCATGCAAAATGGTATTCCCTGAAAAGTCTGAAGATTTTGCTAAATTCAGTGAACCACAAAGAGAAGCTGAAAATAATGGAAATATTTACATTTTCTTTGTGTACTTCTACTGGTATTCAACTAAATTATTTAGTTTCAAAGCAAATCATTCTATGCTGAAAAAAAAAAAATCTTCTGTTGAATTCTATGTGACATAAATACAGGGAATTATTCAAAATTTACAATTAGGTCAAAACCAAACTAGACCTGAGGACTTAAAACTGTTTATAAACAGCTTATATGTATCTTTCATACTTTTTTTGATTTTCCAAATAGAACTAATGCTCAAAATCTTACAACTTTGAATGAAATTTGCTGAAAAGGAAAAGATTTTGAGAATTTATTTTTAAGAATTCAAGTTTGTGCAAAATTCTTGGCTGGAAGAATTTCCAAAGAAACATTTAAAAGTGGTTTATGAATACTGTAGCACTTTACAGAAGTAATTACAAGACCAAACAGACTTTAAGTAGAAGTTTGAAAACTATGTAGTACTACCTTCATTACATAATCATACTTTTTTTTACTTACCTAAAGAAGCATATATTTCACTAAAAGCTGTAAGGTGGTCTCTTAGTTCTAAAGCAGAAGACATGGCTAATAATAGCCGACTTTTCCTTCCTGATGGCCCTACCTGGAAAATAAAAAATGTATAATATGAAATTCACAATACATAGTTTGATATTATAAACTAACACAAAAAGGTGAATTAATGAATAACTTTACTAATGCAGTACATTATTAACACTATTAAATTTGACTTTTTTACGAAATATTACAAAAATTATTAAACAAATTCATTTATCAGTAACATGTTTTACTTTTGTATGCACAAGTCCATTTCATTTCAGTATATTCTAAAGCATACAATCCTGCTTTATGTTAAACAGATCTTATTAAACTTAGGTGAACTGAAAATTGGATTTCAGTATATTAAGCAAATATTAGTTTTCTAAGCAATCATTCTTAATCTTCAGTTGTTTAAATGTTTTTTGTTTTTTTATCATTTTACTAAATAATTAGCCATTTGCAACCTTAATGTTTCAAAGGAACTTGACATTTATTTAAAATTTTTGTTAATACAAAGCACTGTTTCTTATTAATACATATTTATCAATTTATTATATTTTTATTAGAAAAACTGTGTAATAGGCCTAGGTTTTTGTTTGTTCATTCTAGTAAAACTACACTCATATCAGCATATCACCCTGAGGTTCTGCAATATATGAAAACAACTGGTTTCTTTTTGTATAATAAATGTATTGCTGGCTACACATACACTATACATACTGATGGATGTGGTTGACAGGAATCTAACAACAGACTGCTGCTTTAAAGTGGTAGAGACAAGCAGAAAGTAATTTAAATGGTGTAAGCATCTTTATCCATATTTGTTTGACAAATATAACTAATGTCACAGGTACCTGCAGATATTTTACTGTAGAAGACCCAGAATGAATTGTGTTTCAAGTTGTGATTCTAATAGTGATGAGTCATTTATGTTACTTGCATTGTTTCTATCTTCAACCACATTTTATTGTGAAATTACTAGTCAATGCTTTCACAATAAAACATTGTTCTACTGCTTAGTTCTGCTGTTCTTTGAAAATGATACTTAAAAGATACGATCCAATTAAAATAGTTTATGTGAAATTTGGATTTGCTTTGTATTCCAAAATAATCTAGTTTCAAGCCATTCTCTCAAGGATACTTTCATCAGTTAGCAATGACGAGTAGCCATAGTTGGAGTAACTTCTGGAAGTATTGAGTCTATGAATGTACATTTTTTTTGTACTTTTCTTCAAACATTGGAGACATTTTTAAACAATGCTCAAATAGGGACTACTGATCATTGTTCAAGTTGGTGATATTGTTGTCATTGGTACATTGCATCTTTTTTGTGCTCCAAAATCCTTTCAAGAAGACACTACGTTTAATTCCTTCTTGTATATACATCTCATATCAGTTATCTCTGAGGCACATTTAAATCATTTTGATTAGCCATAAATTTGGAACATGCTGGAGATAAGTGGTTAAAATATGAACAATCTTTCTACTGACTGTTACCAATATAGTATTATTACAGTTCTATGGGATATTAAAGCATACATGATAATTTATAATACATGGAGGAAACATGGTTCACTTCACAATCCAGCTCATTAGAATTTTTCACAATATTTGCTTGATAACCTCTTATTATAGGATTAATATTGTTTTTATTTCCCATATATTCATCAGATGTTCCAGCATTTTATCTGATGCACCACCAGTACAACTTCCAGGAAGATGCTTGACATTAAGAGCAGCATGTTATAAATCCATATATTCTGTAAAACTGTTGTTGATCACACCCGGATGTATAATCTTAGAGAAAGTACACTGACATTCAAAATCTGACCAGAAATTGCAGTCTTGTATTCTGCATGTATATATATACTTGGGAAGCGTTTTCCTAGGAAAATACGTTTTGCTTTACAATTAATATTGTGGTTGTGTTTCATCAAGAAAACAAACCCCTCTTCAGTTACAACTGAAAACTGATTTTATTCATGAAATCATTAACTCCAGCATTATCATTAATGCCTGAAAGTTCTTTCTTTTGGTAACATTCCTGAATGATTTATTGTAAGGTTAACACCCCCGGAACTTGATGCCACACACTCACTTTCAGTACGAAATCCAGTAGTCTTGGAAGTTTATTGCAAATTCTCATATACTTATTTTAAAGGCGATTGTCTACTGGAATAGTAATATGCTTTAGAATTCACATTCATTTTAAAATCAGGGTTCTTTTTGCACTTTAAATCAGTGAACACACAGGTTACCACTTAATCCTCTTTTCCCTATTACTGATAGCAATCATCATTTAAGTTAAAGTCTCAGAGACCAGTATGTTCACTGCAAGTGACAGGTTTATATGTCTTGTTTACTGACTATTATTAGAACTATACCTGCTGACATTACCAATAACTTGTGATCACAGCCAGCTACATGTACATTCACAGACCAGAACTAAAAATTAACCCATTAAATAACTAGAGGGTCACTCAGTACAGCACATACCTACACCAAGAAGCATTGATTATATTCGGTCCTCAAAAAATATGAAAATGTGTCCATTTGTCTGTTGTTATCAACACACATGGAACATTTTTGGGAGGACAATGAGGAATAATGTTCTACATGTGTCCACCCAGTTTCATCCGAGTTATATATTAAAAATAACGTGAAAAATCAGTCCCCATGTTAACAGATAGGGATTTTTTTTTCATGAACTTTCTATGACCTTTACCCTTCAAAAACTAATCACTCCTAAGTTGGGTCATAATCCAAATGTATACCAAACTTTTGTCCAAATCCATTCAGACATTTCTGAGAAATCTTGGTGACAAACATACACACACAGGTGTGAAAACATAACCTCCTTCACCTTTAGTGGAGGAGGTAATGAAAGAAGTTTATTAATATACTTGTTTAACTAGGAGTATGCAGTGTCATAAAACAAAACTTATGATTAAAAATTATTGTTTCATGAGTTGGATACTCTTGTTGTTAATATTTTTGGCCATGATGTTACAACTTGCATATATTGCAGGGTATACTACATGTTTATATTTAAAGAAGAATTGGACATGTCAGAGCTTACTATTTACAAAATTTTTCTTTTCTCTGTAGAAAAGAATTATTGGCAATTTTAGACACTAGACAGGACAAACTATAATATGAATATTCACCTAAGATTATTATACAAGTCTTTGTTGAGATCACTTGTTGAATCTTGCCTAGCCTGTACTTCACCTTGTTCCAGAATTCTGTATTTACTTACACGTCCTACAGTTTCCAATGTCCTCTAAAACTAAGAAAGCTATAATATATAAACTACTTTGCTAAAAGACTTGGCCAGATATTTGGTATGTGGATGAAACACTGGTTGTTACATCTTGACTAAAATTGATTTAGATCCAACTTAAATAGATTCAGAGAGGCTTCTAGTTCCTCACAAGTTTTTGACTATGAAGTTTTATTTATAATTTATATTCTAAAAATTTGGGGGTCGATGACAACTTTAGAGGTTCATCAAAGGGTTGACAACTCAAAAAGGTTTGGGAAACCTTGAGTTACACAAACAGTAATACCGTAATCTTCTTACCTCTGCTACTTTAATAAACCGACCCCTCTTGTTCTGTTTTACATCAAGATAAAACCTTTTAGACTGTATGTGAAGCACTTTAGTCGCTAACTCCTGTTCTGGTGCTGGAAGTAGCTGTCCTATAAAAGAAACCAAAGAAGAAAAATCATTTTTAAACTATTATTTCAATATGTATATATGTAAATTATTAATCCAGCTTATGAAGAACTTATAATATGTAAATATTCTATACTTATATGCATAGAATGCTGATTTATAAAACATTAATTAATTTGTATTTTTTAAATTAATTGATTACCACAAAACATTTGCAGTTTGTTCCTTCTACTGCACTTAAATCCTAAAGTGTAAAACTATGGATAAAAGTGTACAAGTTTGATAGAAGTTTCAAGTGTGTTTCTTTTATAGATATAGGGAAAATCAAATGTTATAAGTGGAGTGAAATGATATATGGTCGATATTTAGGGAACTGAAATTCAGCAAATTTTATCTTGTAAAGTCACTGTTTTATAACCTGTCTATTTGAAAATAAGTTATTTTTTCATGTTTTGCTATTATACAGTACTTAACACAATTTACATTTGACATATTTATCAAGCATCAAAGTAAAACAATGAACACACACCGTAGGTTGATATTAAATCACTACATACACATTGACCATTGATTGCTGTGGAAAGCTCAATAACAAGATTATTAATTACATTTTCACTCACTATTCTGCAAATTTTACACAATTTTGTAACTTTCTTTAAGACTGGAAACCTATTCGAGCATGGAAACTTCAAGTGCTCTCTCCTTGAACTGATGGCTAAACCCATTACTATACACAACTGTCTAACTTGTGGATTCAAAACCATCACAAAGGTCCATCAAGAAAAACCATGTGTTTATGAACTAATCAAGGCATATCTTCTTCTGACAAAAACATTGTGAATGATACAGAAACTCTGAAGAAATGCAGAAAGCTCCTAGACAGTGATAAAGTCACATCATGCAGCGTGAATTTTTACTAGGTGTGCATATCTTCTCATAATAGTCGATACGATACGTATCTAGATACAGAAGTTTTACCGACAGTTTATTACAAAGTTTGACAGTCTTGTCTGTAATTTGTTATCTATATTACTAACATTGTCTTATTTAAGTACTTCACACATTACTGTGCTTTTTCAAATTCTCAGGTTTGATCAACTGAATGGCAGTTGGCAAGAGAAGTAAAATAATAAAAAAGTTAATATCTGTTTATCTATTTTGTTATTGTTAATTTGTTATGTTACTTTGCATGTAATGTTTTTGATAAAAGAAATGAAGACAACATGTAATACTCAATACTCATCTTCCTTTATTGAATCATTAATTTTTAGCAAAAATACTTTATTAGAAATTTTGATTTTGTTTTGTACAAAAGACTTATAATGTTTACTGAAAGCTTGCCAAATTTTGTTAAGATGAATAAATCATATTGGATTTTGTATCAATACAATCATATCACAGCTTTACAATAAAATACTCGTATCATATCGCTGTATCGCCACAACTTTAATTTTTTCAACCCTGAGTATGTCTACTACTCAGAATATACATTAGCAGCAATAAAATTGAAGGAATTCATGTCACAAAGTTTTTAACTTAGTAAAATAGTTGTATTAGCATTCAAATACATAAATAACGTAGAAACTCTATTATATTATTTGGACTGTAAACATAGAAAAGTTGTTTTCATTATTTTCAGTCATATTTGATTTAAAGTGGCTAACATGTGCCAAAAATCACCCAAAATTTCCAGAATTCCACTTGCCTTGTACACAGAGCCATATTCTTTGTGATGTACAAAAGCTAGAAATGCCTCTTAAATTCATGGTGTGCTGTAATTTAGGCTGGTAAGGTAATAGAAATATGATGTAGTATGGACTACACAATATTTTAGCCCCACCCTTAGTTAATATGTAAAATATTAATTAATTTTTTATTCTTCATTGTTCTCTTTTTTGATACAATAAGATGCTCAAGTAAATTACTCAGCTCTCCATTTCACTAGAGTGCATTCATTATTGGTTATCAGTGTTCTCTTACACAAGAAGGATAAAGTGTAACATTGTTTCTCTCTTGGCAAATTGGATAATAGCCAAATTTTCTGTGAGTAAGAAAAATACCAAAAATTAGAATTGAAGGTAAAATTTTGGTGCTGTGGCCAAGGGATATCATTGTTGCCAAGTTGTTGTAGTATCCATGGGTAATAACTAGAGGTATTCATATTTTCAGCACATAATAAACTGGGAATGCACGAGTTACTTACTGAACATGGAGCCATGTGCAAGCCTGGCTTTGTTTATAGTTAATATTTAGTATTAAAAGCCAGGTTTACCATGTGTTAGCAGATTTTTTTTAAACTTCCTCATTTTATACAATATTTCAACATTTAAACTTGTTAGACATTTGTAGTTAAAATTTAATATTGCCATTTAATGCAAGTTGGAAATTTAGGACACTGGCTTTTGTGGGAGTTAGGGGTCATTTGGCTGAACTTAATGTTTAAGCATTTAGTTTTTCTGTTTGATGTTTACCTTGTTGGGGTGATTTTTCATTTTGATTTTAGCTTGCTTTATTTTTACTTACAGGTGGGAGCACATTGACAAAATAAGAGAAATTAATAAAGGTTTCATTATACATCTCTTATGAGTTCTACATATTCATGAAACACACTTGATTAGGTTTTGTATTGTGTTTTTGTGTTCAATAATGACTGTTGTATCCTGTTTATTTTCAGTTCAACCAACTTGTTTACAATTCAGGAAGAAGCATGGCACATAGCTCAACATCCTTGAGCCATCAGTTAACTGGCACTAATTGACTATGTTGAGGTAAATCTGTGAGTAAGAAAATACCAAATATTAGAAGAGAAAGTAAAATTTTGGTGCTGCGACCAAGGGATATCATTGTTGTCAAGTTGTTGCAGTATCCATGGAAAATGGCCAGGCTTTTACCAAAACTCCAGTGAGTATTGCTAAGTCAACATTCAAGTAAGAATGGCATTTTCTACAGAAAGAATGGTGTACAAGGTGGAATAGACCGAATTAGAAGCCGTGGCAGATAGGGTGGCCAGATCTGGGGAAGCATTCTCCTAGATTTTGGACTATAGGCATTGCTGCAAGTCTCTGGCAACTATCACACTGCAATCATGAGCCCAAGAAAAAGAGTAAATGTCAACTTGTGCACTCAGAAAGGTGGATAAGTTTCTCTCACTTGAGGTTGAGCCTTGGAAATGGAACCTGGACAACTGATGATTATCTGATTGACAGGGAGACTAGGTTGTATGAGGCCCATTGCGTGGTTTCAACCAGACCCCTTAGATATTTGCAAACCAGAAAAGCAGCACCCTGAGGAGAAGTGCTGGTGGTGGATGAGGTCCACCAAGAACAGTTATATAACCAGGTGAAATTATGAGCTTGTGCAAAAAATCGATGATCAGTGGGGCAGTAACAAGCTTTTTGGTGAATTGCTCAGCCTTGCTAGTAGTCAAGAGCAAGGTGACATTGGTGAACTAGTTCAAGCAGGTGAGACAGTTGGCACAGAAACTTAATATGAAGAAACAACTAGTAGAGCCGAGTCCCTTAAATGATATAATCAATTACCTATTAGTGGTAGTTCCATCAATTAGTGTCACATAAACTAATTAATAAAAAATAAGATTAAATTGAACAATGTCACAAAAAATAATGAGCTAGGAGAAATTATGGTTAAATCAACTGCTATGAAAATAACTAGTTGAAATTAGGGTTTAAGTTGTTACTGTTTTTGATTACTCCACCTTTCCAAGTAATCAAAATATTGCCATTTTGTTGTTAAGCACACAGATATATAATGGGCTACATGTCCTCTGATCACTTGGGGAATCAAAACTTGATTTTAGCATTATATGGTGTGTTACTTTTTACTTCACATCTGCTGAGTTTTAGGCCAAAATGCCCTGGTGATTCATGGGAGGGGGGCTAATGATGAGAGTCGTGTTCTCACTGCCATTAAGCTTGCTCCCCCCCTCCCATCATCCTTTTTTAAATGACAAAACTATCAAGGCTATCTGCCATTGTTACATCACTAATTTTGAACTGCTGACAAGAGAGAAGACAATGCCCACCACCAACTTTCTGGATACTTAGGTGTTTAATAAAGTGCAAGTTTACTGTTTTTTTACATTGCACAATTGTATTACTGCATTCTTTTATGTTTATAAGCAGACAAGGATCTAGAGGGATTCTAGAGTCTGGACACAACCCTTTAATCTTTTTTTCAGAAATTAATAACTGAATTTTTTAATATTCTATAAACAGGTGTGGATCTATGGGAAGATCCATACCCCCCCCTTCATTTTTTAAAGAAACTATTAGAAAAACAGCCAGGTATCTTTACATTATTATATAGTATCAGAAAAATTTGATGTTAGTGATTAAATTTAACTGGCTAATTAATTCCCATAAAAGTTTTTTTGAAGTTTTCTGAAACCAACATAGAGTACAGCTATCCAGACAATGCCTCAGCCAATAACTGATTATTTCAAAACTGAGACAACAATATGAACACGAATTAACTGCTACCAAGGTAAATTTTTGTACCTTGGCTTTTTCAGAAACTAACATTCTTTCTAGGCTTTAGAGATTTGTTTTCATCATAGGTATTATTGTTTAGGACACCTGAAGCTCTTATAACACACACGTTATAAAATCAATTTTTCACTGTTTACAAGTTTGAGCTCTGAGGAAGATTTCTTATAAATTTTATTTATTGATGATCTATTCAAGAACTAGTGCCATAATTTTTTCCTGAAATGCAATAAATATCTACTAGTAATTTTAATGAAAAAATGTGAATTGTATTTTACTTTTTATTTTGATATTGTTACATATCTGCTTGTTTCCGGTAGAATTTATTTTCGAGAATCTTCAGCGATACAAGTCCTTTCTTGATTAAACCAGTTTATTCTTCCTCGATACAAACTTTTAGTACACAGTAGTTCCACAATCAGTATGTTTCTC